CTTTATGTCTTTTTGACAATAAGGCTTTAGTCAATACAATGGCATATTCTTTTTCTTATATGTCTCATTTTTTTCTACAATTACTGACAAAATTGTCAATCAAGGTGAGCAAAATATGAATGCTGAGAAGCCCTTAGGAGAGGAGGATGTAGCAGATAGAAATATGGAAATATCTGTAATTGAAATTGAAGAGAAAGAACCAGTCTTTGTATGAATTAATTTATGATTTCATTACTTTAATGGTGATTGTCTACCACTTCCATAGGCCAACGTTTGATTCTCTTCTTTTATGTTCGAGTTAATTGTTACAATGGTCACTGAATTTAGGTCCATATCTTTGATTGGTTACTGATGTTCAAAATGTCGAGTTTTGGCCATTGGACTTTGAAAAATGTCAAGTTTTGGTTACTAAACTTAGGTCCATATCTTCGATTGCTCACTAAAGTTTAAAATGTCAAGTTTTGGCTACTGAACTTTGAAAAATGTTGTATATTACTCACTGAATTTTGAAAAATATTGTACATTACTCACTGAACTTTGAAAAATACTATACATTACTCACTGTAAACTCGATATTTTTCAAAGTTCAATAATTATGTTAGTGAGTAACGTACGGCATATTCCAAAGTTCAGTAGTCAAAACTTGACATTTTAAACTTTAGTGAATAATCTAAAACATGGATCTAAGTTCAGTAAGCAATCGAAGACATTGACCTAAGTTCAGTGACCAAAATTCGACATTTTAAACTTTAGTGATCAATCAAAGATGTGGACCTAAGTTCAGTGACCAAAACTCGACATTTTAAAATTTAGTGACCAATCAAAAATATTGACCTAAGTTCAGTGACCATTGGAACAATTAACTCTTTATGTTGAAAGATTAAAGTTGTTGAATGAAAAAGACCCCCTTTCTTTTTCTCTTTAATGAGGGTGTTCTTGATTTTCAATAGGCCTTTGCTCTTAAATAATTAATCTCATAATTATTTATATGAACTTTTAACTTTTTATAGGGATATTGATGTAGTAAGTGGATTTAGATCGTACATGGTTTCTTCTTGTTTTTGATGTATGGAGCAAATTGTTCAGAATTTCATGATTTTTTTTTTTCAATATTCCTCTCTCAATCGTTCCATAAGTGCACAACAAATTGATGCACAATTGGGACGTTTACCTGTATACCTAATCTTTAAATCTTCAATTTATTCTTCTGTTGTATATTTTACTGCTGAATCTTAATTTTATTTTTTATTTTTGCAAGGTTTTAACAAATTGCTTCCAGAATACTGTAAAATCTTGAAAGAAATTGGAGTTTGGTGACCTCTAATATGTTCCTTTATATTTTTGTTGTGAATCTTTGAGTTGTTTCTTCTTTTCTTTTTTCTTTTTTTTTTTTTGGCAAGATTTTAACAAATTATTCAGAGATGGATGATTGAAAATCAAGTTGAGTAAACGTTGAATTGAATATGTAGTTCACAAAAATTCAGCACATTTAACACACTAATATTACCTTCAAAATAATCCAGCCCGTGCAAATGACTAGTATTATAGAAGTATGATCAACTAAGATGTTGTTTGACAAAGTTTGAATATATTTTGATAGAAGTTGATGAGATTTATAATTAAAATTGAAGTTTGACATGAAATGTATTGTTGAAAATAAATTTGAAGAATAATGAATTCTAAGAAATGAAATCTAAATAGGGGCTTAATGAACAAGCACTAAACATGATATTACTTGAAGTTTGTAAATTTTAGGCATATTTATAGAGGGGTGATGCTACACGTAATGGTGACTTGAGTTTACACCCCCTCACATGGAGGGGACCCGTGTGGCCGTGCACATTACAAATATCATTACCCTTTATAGAGTAATGTATTGAGTAGTGCTATTCACCTAGACTACTGATTGTTAGCAATTTAGGTGTAGAATAAATAGCTGAACATGTGATCCCTGTCCTTAATCACTGAATGTCAATTTATTGACACCTTGACTTCACACCCTTAACGATATACATAGATAGCATTACTTAATGATATTTATCACATTGATGATAATCACAAGTCTAACATTAAACCCTTGTTTGGTAGGGATTAAAATCGAGATTTTAATTTAAGTCATGTCGACGATTAATTTTAATTACATATTTTATGAGACATACAACCTTTTAACCATATATCTCATCAAATTTTTATCAAAATTTACTCAAAATCTTATTTTAATTCCCAACAAACACAGGTTAAATGATAAGTTAATTACATTCAACCCCCTGTTCATCCATTTTTTACAATTTTTTTCTATAATTCATTTCCAACTACACATTCACACAATAAAATATTTTGCATGTAAACTCAAAAAAATTTCTTACTTATTAACCACATATTCTTCAAAAAATCACTATTCCAAAATTAATTATTCTCAAAAAAACTCTTTTTATTAGTTTTCAAACAAGGGCTTAATTGAACACATCCTCTATGTTCATCTAGACTATTAATTGTAAACAACCTACAAATTTAAATATCTTAAGTAAAAGTCATATTCTTACATTTAAGAAGTTCAATCACTTAAAGCTATTTAATTGGCCGTTGATTATAAGCCAAATAACTTTCATTTTTATTTCTTCTTTTCTTTTCATTTTTGTTTTCCTCAATTCTTTTAATCTTTTCCTTTTATAATTTTTTCTCTTTGAATGAAGTATCAAATTAACTTCAAATACAAGGTTATGTGCAAGACATACAAGCATATAACAGAAGAAGTGAGTGCCTCTGTAGCGACCGGAAAAAAAAACGTGCTTTGTTCATTTCAAATAAAATTTTCTTATAGGACTCAAATATAATTTGGTTATATTATTATATCGCTACGACACTTCTTAATAGTCCAAATTAAATTTTGGTCACGAAAGTAAAATTTCGCGTACTTGATTTTCTTAAATTTTATAATGTGTTAAAATCTCTTTAGACGACAAATTTTATTTGTTACTTCGTTTTGACGACGCACATTTTATTGTATATCTATTAAATCTTAAAAGTTAGATTAGAAAAATCTATTGTATAGTGCATTAACCATCCCAACTTACCTTATTATTTGAACCCCATTTTGATTAGCCATTTAAAAAAAAAAAAATTGCCATTTGGTTATTGGGATGATAACTTACACGTCCTTATCCATTTTCATTTGGAAGTTAACATTTTAAAATTTCAACCACCCCATTTCCTCAAGTGTAACCTCTAATTTTAAATACAACTTCCACCACCTTTGCCTTTGAGAATTTGTATATTAGCACCACCACTTCACCTGGAATTTAAAATAAAATTTTCCCATTTTGATACCTTGCCAACCCTCACCTTCAATTAAAAAAAAAAAAACCTGCTGTCTTTATATTTGAAAAGTAACCTACACGTCCACCATTTTATACCCATAATTGATATTCCACAACCATTTGCCTTCACTTCCATTTTGGTTACTGCAATTTGCTATCATCCTCTTGCATTTGAAAATTCTTATAACTTCTAAAGCCAAGTTTCCTCTCCCAAACCGTATACCGGTACATAAAGTTATTTCGCCTTTTCGTTCATCAATATAAAGTTTCTTGAATCTGAAAATTTATTTGAAGAAGAGGCAAGAAGTATGCTACATTTTAGTTCTATATATTGAATCCGAAAAGGGTATTCAAACTCCAAACATTAAGGTAGGGGTGTTTTGGCACTTATGTAAGTGATGTAAGATTTATATATTTTCGTTTGCATTAAATGTGTTATTGTATTGCTCATGATGAAATCACCGTTTGGTGGTTTAAACAAGAGATGAAGAAATGACTATGACAAATGAAATGGGGTTATCAAAACCTAAGAGTAAGCGGACTGACTGATCACCAATTTGCTTGAAATTGACGGTGACACAATTGACCAAAGTTTACATTTCTAAAAATATATATTTTTACCGTTTACTTAAGTGTTTCCCACTAAGTATTATTTATAGTACTCATCCCCTACAAATAATTTTACACGTTAAGAACGAGGCATGGCAGTGGTTGGCATAGTGGCAAGTGTTCGGCGATCTCTAATACTTTCAATTTCTAGTAAATATTTCTATTTATGTAAACATTTTATGGTTACTTAGATGACACTTTTTAGAAATTTTTTAATGTTTATTTTGTCTAGTTTCATAGACGATGCATGTTAAGTAGAAATTTGAGGTGTTGGATGGAGTATGTATGAAGTTTAAATTTATGCTGGGTTAAATTTTCAGATTCTGTCCTCTTATTTGAAAATGGTATAACTTGGGCTACGATGCATGTTTTTAAGTGAAATTAGTGGGGTTTGAAAGGTCTATGAGTCTTTTAATAGTGACCTTTGGAATTTCTCGAAAATACTATCTAAAAATAAATTTATGCTCGTTTTAGTAAACTGCGTCGTGTCGAATTCGAGATTCCTGTCCAGCATATTCGAGTAATATTTTCGTGCTTCAAACGTATCGTCGAAACCCCAAATTTTTATATGTGGTACATATATGAATGATTTAGTCCCTGTAAAAAATTCATAAATTTTAATAGACATTTGCTAGGCCAAAGATATTTTTCTTCCGCTGTCGTTAAATCCGTAACTGTCGATTTGCCTTCAAATCTTTTACAAAATCAAATTTTGCTACATTTGCCTAAGTTATATAGATAACTACCTTCCATTATATTTTTATATATTTAAAAAAAATGAATTTATAAAATAATTTGGCTAGTGTCAAAGGGGTCGAATCAAAGAAAGAAACGAATATTATCTTAACACTTCGGTTTCCGAAAATTCGGGGCGTTACAGCCTCACATAGGGGGATAAATTTGCACTGAAAATGAAAGAATCATACTTCAAATGTAAAATATTTGATTCTAGGGACTGATGCGCTCTCTTTGTCAAACTTAAGAGACCTGGCTGCAAAGTTTCAAATAAAAATTTCTCCTCTATTAATATTTTTTGAAATTTTAAGAAGCAAAGCAAAATCCAATTGGACTTCTATAATTCAGTCGCAGCCATTGGTGTTAGGTACATTAAAATTTCTCTCTCCATCTTGGATGCTAGTCATCATGCAAACTAGAAAGTGCATTTCTAATATATACGCATATATGAATGGTGGCTTAAGGATTATCACAAAACCAAAAAACAAGAAAACAGTAAAGGATACGAACCAGACGCTTCCCCTGTGAAAGGTAAGAATGATTGGACTGAAGATTTTTTTCTGATTACTTGTCAAACGCTAGTTAAATTTACTTATGCTAGTGTACATATGTCATTTCTTGGCACCGAATGACATCATAAAGTGTTGAGTCCAAAACCAAAATTGGGTGGTAAAGATTTTCCGTTCTCAGCTGTGGTGGGGTAGGTTGCTAGGAAAAAAAATCGAAGATTCAGTTTGTGAAGAAAACATACCGCTATAGGTACTGGAGTTGCTGCACCTGATTTGACAGAGAGGTGGGTTTTGGGAATTTCAAGCTATTTCAAAGTTTTATCGATGCTTTTCTTTTGGAGGATTGCATGCTTCCCTATTGATTTCGTTTTCTTCAATGTAAAACGTCTCATTTTTTGTTAATTGATTGGGTTTCCACTGTTCTGAATTTATTTCCTTATTACAACCCATTGGTTTTTGTTTCTATATATCATCGCTACTTCCTAATTTGCAGTACAGAGTTTAGTTATAAAATATGCTGCGGTTGAGTACTTGCTTAGAGGATGAAGGAACAATAGAAAAAGAAAGAAGGAACAATAGAATTTTCTTTTTCTATTGTTCAAATTAATTTTTTTTTCTTTCGTTGATTCAGTTAAAAATGGTAATGAGAAGAGTGGATCTCCGGTCTGACACTGTCACTAAACCAACTGAAACCATGCGGGCAGCAATGGCTAGTGCTGAAGTTGATGATGATGTACTGGGTTACGACCCAACGGCCGCTCGCCTTGAAACGGAGATGGCAAGAATCATGGGCAAGGAAGCAGCACTATTTGTCCCTTCAGGCACAATGGCTAACCTGATTTGTGTGCTCACTCACTGTGCAATTCGGGGAAGTGAAGTCATTCTCGGGGACTATTCTCATATCCACATTTATGAAAATGGAGGCATTTCCACAATTGGAGGCGTTCATCCAAGGACAGTGAAAAATAATGAAGATGGGACAATGGATATTAATCAAATTGAAGCAGCTATAAGAGATCCTACATTTGAGATCTGTTATCCAACTACTAGGCTCATCTGCTTGGAGAATTCGCATGCACAGTAAGTCTAACCTTCCAGCAGAAGACTCTTTTTGAACATTTTATGGATTAAACCCTATTTCTAATCTCAAAAGCAAAAATAAACAGAACAAAAAGGAAATGCACTTGGAAAACACCAATATTTATAGCAGTTCGCTCTCAGTACTCAAGCAAAATGGATAAAGACCTTTTACACAGATTGCTCTGGCTAGTTTTTTGAGGCTTTGCATAGCATTTGGCAAGTTATTAGTTCATATACCCTATCAACATATGATCATGTCAAGCATTTGATATGTTTCCAGCAGTTTGTTGTGCTCCTATCATACTCGTTTGAATTATTTTCTTGATGGGGGTGGGAACAATTTGATAGCTCTTTGTATTTCATTGGAAGATGATGTTTTTTGGCAAAAAAAAGTATCAGAAGTTTCTTTATTAAAGCATGTTCCCAAAAACCAGAGATCTTATAAAATTTATTTGTGGCTAAGTATGAAAAGATATGGTAATTACGGGTTACTTAATCTTTTTCAGAATCAGAGCTGATGAAAGTTAGAAGAATAAAACTATGCCTGCAAAATTAAGTTAACAAATACAGTGGTTTTTTCCTGCTTTTTTCTTCTGTATGTGCATGATTTTGCTCACCGTCTAACAATTTTCACTATCACTTCCTGATAATGTCACAGTGAAGTACAGTAGAATGATAATGATTCCTACTATGGCAAGAAAGTAGGGAAAGAGAATAGGTACAGGTCGAAGGGTATCTGTTTTTTCCTCTTGTTATTCAATTCGTCAAAAGTCAGATAGATTGAAGGATTAAACTGAGAAGCACGAATGACTGGTTGAAACTTTTTACTCTCAATACACATCTAGTACAGGGTAAAAAACTGAAGCGTGAGAATAGTAAATTCCATCATTTCTCCCTCATACCATACTAGTATATTTTTTAGACCCTTAGTTATGTGTGAATGCATATTATATGGGAGACATTTTTCTTGTGCTAGTTTTACATCTAAGGATATTAATATATCTTTTAGACCTTTAGTCAGATGCGAAGGCATATTATATGAGAGACATTTTTCTTGTGCTACTTGAGGATAGTAGTATTTTGGTCCAGAATGTCTATGTTTCTGTAGTGTTTCACCAGAATTCGGGGTATTTCGTGTGTGCGTAGTTTTTGTCATACATTAGAAAGGAGCACCTTATGACAAGTTGATTTATTTTCATATTCTTGACTGTTGCCTATGCTTATTAAAAAATTTAGAGACCTCAAGGTAAGCTTAATTCACAGGGTATGTCTTTCCATTGAAGAAGTTCCCAAGCGACACTAGGGGGTTGGGTGTAGCTGACGGTGTGGGGGTGCAAACATTATCTCTTGCATGTAATTTGTGTCTTTTTCATGAAGATTGATTCAGAAATGTAGGTGTCTAAACTAAATACTGACAAAAATGCATTTTTATTATTTTGAACAAAAAACTATCTATTATTTCTCTTCCTTACTGGAGAGCCTGTTTGTGTCTCTCGGTAGTGCATAGATACGTTGTTTAAGAGCTAGCAAACATCATTTTTATTATTATTATTATTATTTTTTTGTAAATCCATATCCTTATATGGAAAATCAGACTGTTGATACTTCTTTTGCTGATAAGGGGAATTTTTATTTATGCAGCTCAGGTGGGAGATGTCTTACAGTAGAGTATACAGACAAAGTTGGTGAGCTAGCAAAGAAGCACGGTTTGAAGCTTCACATTGATGGGGCTCGTATCTTCAATGCATCAGTGGTGAGTCAATGTTTCTCTCTGTACACTCTACAGGTATATGCCTATGGAAAGATACATACATACATACACATCCCACTGCTTTGTGGAGAGATCTCTTCCCATTTTTCTGTATTTTTTTTAATTTTTTTTTTTAAACTCAGCTCCTCCCATTTTTATTTTGCGTAAAACGGCCCAATTTAAATCTTGAAATTAGAAGGCAAGGACAAATTAGGTCAATTCACAAAGTAGTCCTTATGTACCTCTCCTTCATCCTTTCCCTCCCTCTCTTAAACCCACTCTGAGATTCTTCACTAGCATGACTCAATCTTGGTCATCTAGAACGATTTCTGCCATCGACCACCTTACACCCCTCCTTTGATTAATCCCGGCACATTGCCACTGTTTTTTGCCTCCATTAGACCTTTAAGACCAAGTCTCTGTCCTCTTCACAATTCCCAACATTCAAGGACACAACTTCAACATATCCATCCATCTCTAATTCATCCTTACGTCTTTTCTGTATTATTTCTAATGCGAAATATAAAATGATTTTGCAAATGAAAAATTGATTTATGCAATTTGAAACGTTATGTTCTAATATGGAAGTAAAGTATGTTGATCCTTTTCCCTTTGTTTTTAATTTTTTTTACCATACTATCTATCTCTTAGTCTATAGAATGAATTTAGTGACTTAAATTTTATAGACCAATCAATTGTACTCTGTTCATATATTTTATATCATTTCCCTATTTCTATGATATTTCTTAGTTGTGTTGATTGTTTAGTTACACAAGAATTCGAAGAGCCAATCAATGTTTCTAGTCATCATAGCTGAAAACTCTATACATTGAGTTGTATAAGGCTCAAAATTTCTAAACTATTGAAATGGATAAGCAAATCATTAACTGAGTGTGTGCGTGCAAAAATTAGTTGGAAGGTATTACACATAATAGGACTTCTGCATGCCAAAATACTTCGTTCCAAGTCAAACCCATCTTATTAAAAAAACTTTAAACCGACTCCCAAACTTAGAAATGAGCATTTACAATTTTTACTTCTTAACAAGAGGAAGTAGTAGTACAGTCCCAAGCCTTCTTAGACATCTCACAATAGCAGTGACATTGTTGAGAGCAAACAACGAATAGTCTTGATTTTTTCCCATGTTCGAACACCATTTTTACTTGACTAGCTAGAATGTTACCTACTGGGCTGAACTTGTTTTGTGTCAGTTTGATCTGTGTCTAGCCACATTGTCAAACCCAGGAGAATGTGGACCTGTCATTAAGGGGAAAAAAATTCAGGGGCAGGCGTAGTGCTTCAAATTTAAGTTCTTTTATTCTGTTACTGGATACAATTAAATTGGATAAATCTTTATTCCAGGCACTTGGAGTTCCTGTTCACAGGCTTGTGCAAGCAGCTGATTCAGTAACGGTATGTCGATGGAAGCCAAACTGAAAAGTTTTTTTGTCCTTACTAGTTTCGGCATATGATTTTATTCATCTTTGAGAATGATTTCCTAAATATCTTAAAGCCAAACAGAAATGATAGTCATATAGCATTAACTCATCTCTGGTATCGACTAATGCATAGTGTTAGATTTAAGTGTCCTTACCTCAATCCCTCATCAAATGAATATATGATGTAGGCTTGTTTATCAAAAGGTCTTGGTGCTCCAGTTGGAACTGTGATTTCAGGCTCAAAAAGCTTCATTGCCAGGGTAAAGTGTTACATCTTTCTTTTTTTCTTTTTGTTTGCTGAGGCTTCGAGAAAAAATACAATTTTCTGTTCTAATTTAACAAACACTTCCTTTTCCTCTGGTTCTATATAAAAGGCAAAGATTCTCAGGAAGACTTTAGGTGGTGGAATGAGACAGGTAGGCGTCCTATGTGCCCCTGCTCTAGTTGCATTGGAAGAAAATATTAGTAAACTTGAAGGTGATCATCAAAAGGCTAAGATTTTGGCAGGTAACTTTCTCCTCCTATGTGTCATAAAAACTAAAACTTTGATCGCATAGCCGTATTTCCATATTACATATTTGTGGTTATTTTTCAGAGGGACTGAACAAAATCAAAGGATTAAAAGTCGATATGGCTTCCGTGGAGACCAACATTGTGAGTTGCATTATTGTTAAAGTCATAGATAAGTCGGCTTCTTTTTCCACCATATTGTCTCTTTGGGGGAACACTGGCTGGATTTTTTGATGATTCTGGAATTTAAAGCCTTTGAACTATTTTATAATATTCAGTCTCTGCATGGTGACAAAATTTGAGGCTGAAGTTCTAAATAGCTTAGGATTAAACCAGTTCATATGATAACGTAGTATTTTTTAGTTAATCTTTTGAGTGGAATAGATCGCAAAATTAAAGACTAAATTGAAGTTATCTTAAAATGTATTGGTTTAAACCTTGCAGTCCATGTCTTAGCAATGGAACTTGTATAAAACTAATTGAACATACTTTCATACATGCAAGACGTTCATCTCTAAAGCTTTCGAATGGAAATACTCCTCCTGCAGAACTGTGGTATTCGGATTTCATTGCTCATACTTAAGCTCTTAAAACAAAGCTGCACTTTGGTTTCGATTTTTCGAAACTTGATACGTCTTTATAAGAACCAATCCAGTTACTCCCTTGCAGAGACTAACTGCTTCCATCAAGATTCTGTTTAATTTAAAGTTTCAACAACTTTGCAATATTGAGCATGCATAGATGAAACTCACATGCCCATGATACGTGCCTTTTCTTTATTGTCTAACCATAATTTCATTGAAATTTCCATAGCTGTTTCCTATAAAGGAAGCTGGCATATTTATCTTTTCTTTTACGATATCAGGTGTATTTTGACATTCTTGAGGGTTCAAATATCACGGAAACTCACTTATGCAAGATTCTAGAAGCGCATGGTGTACTAACAATGCCAGAAGGGCCACTCAAGTGCGTCTTTTCCTTTGCATATTTTTCAAACTGTTTTACTGTATTCTTTTTATTGTGCATTCTTGGTTTCAGGTTTTGCTACTCTTATAGTCCTGTAGTTTATATGTCTACCACATTGAAGACTAAGCCCCTATTTGACTACCATTCTTTCAACACACTTTTTTTTCATACTCATTTTCAACCACACGTTTTCGCAATAAAATACTCTTCACGTAAACCCAAAACTTTTCCTTCTTAATTATACATTCTCCAAAAATTTACTTTATTTCCAAAAATGTTCTGTCAAACAGGGGCTCAATATAATTTCTGGAAAAACCCTTGAACCCTTGTATCATCACCTCTCGAGGTGTCATGTCATGTACTGCCAGAAGGGTTGTGGCCCCGGTTTTCATCACGTGTGGATTCCTGACTTGGCTACCATTTCTTATGTTACTGATTTGCATGCTAAATTTGTTCTTAGTCAGAATGTTTTAATTCGTTTGACATGTGCAAAGAAATTGATGCTAAAATCATTACTTTGCAGAATGCGGCTTGTCGTTCACCACCAAATCTCGGAAAGCGATGTGCAGTACACGTTGTCTTGCATTCAGGTAATATTTACAGAAACTTGTCTTGATGAATAATTTTGCTCTAAGTAGTTGAAGATTTATGTGTCATTTTAATTTCTATTGCAGAAAGCAGTAATTGGGTTCGTTGATGAAAATGGTGACAAGTGAAGTTCCCCATTTAGAAGATCATCGTTTGGGTTTAATTATGTTTGATGTTTATCAGAAATTTAAAACCTTAAAAGTAGAAAACTATATCTGGAACTGTAGCTCTAAAAACATTTGCATATCCACTATTGCCAAATTCTAGTTTTATTTTGTGGAGTCCATACTTTAAGGTTGCTTGTTTGTTTGGGAGGATAGGAAAAAAAAATTAAATTAAAATCTTGTTTACATCCCGCTAGAAGTACAGTGAATCGAGCTCAAAATCAACAGAGTTCAAAACAATAAAACCCAACTTTATTGGCTTGTATAAATATGTGAACATGTACAGCAAAGTGAATGGTTTCTTTTACAAACTGAGGGTAAGAATACAGAGGGACAAACCTTGTATAGTTGAGTTGAGATACTTCGCATGCTTATTAACAGGATAAGTTGAAGTAATAACAAGTTCCGGTGTGTGTATAGTATATATATATATATGGAAAAAGGAGCCAAAAGCTTTTATAACTAACTAGTGATTTGCTTAATTAGACATGACTGTCCGCTTCAGAAATGTCCACTCGAAGGGTCCCAAAGAAAGCTCTTTCCTGGGCATAATTTCTCCAGTAATCTCTTAGTTTCCCGTCTTCTGCTATATTTTGAAGCTCAACCCCAAAAGACACTGGCATTCGCTGAACCGCCTGAACGGATGATCAAAGTACAGGAAAAGAGTGAATAACTTGGTCATTAGGTGAAAAAAATAAAAAGTAAATCTACCTTTTCGAGCCAAATAATATAGGTAGCAGAATAGGTTGCTTGTGCTTGATAGTCCTCAAAGTCATTATCAGGGATAATTGTGCAAGCCTCGTAAAGTTTCAATTCATTATCCACAAACTTGCTATTGTCACAAATATCATTACTTTCGCAGCAAGAAGGGCCGGATATGTTTTGATCACATGTTGAAAAATATTTCATCCAGAGCACTGAGAGGAAGCGCCGATGAAGCCATAAAGCCTTGAGAAAAACAAATACCACAGAACAAGCATAAGTGAACTCATGCATATAGGACATACTTGATGCACTTTTTTACACAGAACTATAGTATAATGGACAATGTTTTTGCAGCTTCCTTTATAGCCAAACTCTGGATGCCCAAGTATGGACAAATGATAATAGCTAGATCACCAGGATTGGAGTTTCTTACTAATTGAAAAGTACAACTTCTGTCTCCAAATTTCAAAATTGTTAATAGATTCAACTTATGAAATCAAACACATGATGCAGATGAAAATAAATGTGCTAGGCAATTATTTCACATTTTAGATGAAACATAACAAATCTATGGTCAAACCTTTAACAATTGTTGAATTTTTGCGGAATGTTGATAATAATGTAGGGAAATCTGAATATGTTAATGAACTCCAAAGCACGAAATGAAATGTTATCTTTTAAGAGATGTTTCTCCCCTACTCAACAAAATCACAACGGGGTATAATAAAAAATCTCTCTCAGGATACAATGACGGCGTTTGATTCAAATTGTGACTATTTGATCAAATCAAGAAGACACTCGAATATAACTGATTGATGCCAAGAGAAAGAAGGAAAAATAAATAGTTTTTAATGTGTTTGCAAATGAGAATCCGCCCAAAATTTATAGACAATGAGGCAACTGTTTGAATAGGTGTATCCCTTGGAAGTGACTGTTAAAAATGAACAGATACATCTATTCAAAAAACTTTTGAAAATAAAATTCTCTTTCGGGGGCCCGCACGACCCCCGCGACCTGACCGGGCAAGTCGAACCCCGTTGCGCAGCGGCAAACACTAATCCGAGTGGCAAATCATTCGCAAAACAAAAAATTAAACACATGCAAAATGATGAAAAATATCTAACATATCCCCCCTATTTTTCAAAATTTTGATTTAGAAAAGATGAAGCGGCTGCATCACAAAATTGATTGCCTACGTACCCTTAACGGGATCAAGTCACCGTAGTTCATGCAAACACACACAAAAGGCATCATCGTAGGAAATCGTACATAAATGAAAGTAGCTTTTGACTTTGAACTTTCACTTAGTGTAAACAACTCAAAGTTTTGTCAAGGTGCTATGGTGAACGAATCTTGAACCAAGGACCCTATCATGACTAACCGGAGTCATTACACATACTATTCCGATAAAAAGGAGTGTATCTTTTATACCAACGCATTAATGGCCTTGCGTATATCCCGAATTTCATGAGTGCTTTAGGGACGATCTAAATCTCATAGAAAACAGCCTGACTTTCTCACTCACATAGGTAAGTTCTTTATAAAATAATTCTGCGAGTTACTTTCTCTCTCAATAGAACTTATTAAGGAATTAAATCCATCCTCAACCATGCAGAATACATACGCTAGAGATTTTATGAATGGGTTTGAACGAATACTCTAGTGTCTCGTCTAAGTTAGACTTTAACTTGTTTGTACCCTTTGAACTTTGTTTATATTTCAAAACATAAGTAGGGTTCCCATTAAAGCTAACTGAAGTTACGTAGACCTCAATCCCATTCCTTTCGATATTTTCGCAATCATCTCTCTAGCCAATCCTTTTGTCAAAGGATCTGCTAGGTTATTCTTCGACTCTACATATATTCAACGGTGATTACTCCTTGCTTAAGTAATCCTCGAAGAGACTGATGTCTAATACTGAGATGTCGTTGCTTACCATTGCAAGTCTTGTTTGCTATCGAATACAAAGTAGCTTTACTATCACAATAGATCATCACAGCTGGAGATGGTTTTTCCCACAATGGGATATCTATTAGCAAATTTCTTAGCCATTCAGCTTCTTTACTTGCATCAGCCAAAGCAATAAATTCTGCCAACATAGTCGAATCTGAGACGCATGTTTGTTTCTTAGAACACCAAGAAACAGTTGCACCTCCTAAAGTAAAAATCCAACCTGTTGTGGATTTAGAATTCGATTCTATGTTGTTCCAACTTGCATCGCTATATCCTTCAAGTACAGCGGGAAATCCACGATAATGTAATCCATAATCAATCGTTCCTTTCAAGTATCTTAGGATTCTTGAAACCACATTCCAATGTTCTTTTCCTGGATTGCTAGTGAACCGACACAATATGCCAACTGCATATGCAATATCTGGTCTTGTGCAGTGCATAGCATACATAAGACTTCCAATCACACTTGCATATTGTAGTTGGTCATAAGATCTACCAGTATTTTTCATTAACTTAATACTGGGATCTATTGGAGTTGATGCGGGTTTGTGATCCATATGACCATATCTTTTAAGGATATTTTCAATATAATGAGATTGATTCAGCAATATGCATCCATCTTTTCTTATTATTTTAATCCCTAAGATCACATTTGTTTCGCCTAAATCCTTCATGTCGAAGTTAGACTCTAGCAATTATTTGGTCTCCTTAACACTTTCTAAGTTAGGACCGAAAATAAGCATGTCATCTACATACAAGCAAATAAGAGTACATGTACCATTTCTACATGTAGAATAGATACATTTATCTGCTTCATTAACCTTGAAACCGTTAGACAACATTACTTTATTGAACTTTTCATGCCATTGCATAGGGGCTTGTTTTAAACCATAAAGAGACTTAACTAGTTTACAAACCTTCTTCTCTTGACCAGGTAAAACAAAACCCTCTGGTTGCTCCATTCTTCCTCCAAATCACCATTTAGGAAAGCCCTTTTTACATCCATTTGATGGACAAGTAAATTGTGAGTTGAAGCAAGAGATAGCAACACGTGGATGAAAGATATCCTTGCTACGGGAGCATAAGTATCAAAATAATCTATGCCATGACGTTGTTTAAAACCTTTAGCTACTAATCGAGCTTTATACTTATTTATAGAGCCATCTGCATTTAATTTCCTCTTGAAAATCCATTTACAACCTATTGGTTTAGAACCACGAGGTAAATCAACCAGTTTCCATGTTTGATTTGACATAATGGATCTCATTTCATCATTGATTGCCTCTTTCCAAAGTACAGCATCTCGAGAGGAAATAGCTTCTGAATATGTGACAGGATCACTATCATCATGGAGCATTAGCTTAGTCTGATGTGTAATATTATTTACATCACCTTCTAGCAAATAAGTCACAAATTCAAATTCGAAAGTTTTTTCTTTCCTTTGTCTCTTACTCCTTCTAGGTTCTATTTTCGATTGTCGTTCAACAGAAGTATCATCAAGAAATTCTTCATGAATTCTCTTAGAAGAACTAGAAGTAGTATTATTTTCAGTTTGTATAGTTGAAGACTTGTATATATTTTCAAAAAATTCAGCATCAATTGATTCGATAACATCATAGGATTCTAACTTCAGAAACCTATAAGCAGTACTGTTTTTTGCATAACTTATGAATACACATTTGTAAGTTTTACTTCCTAATTTAGTGATCTCTAGATTTGGTTTTCTCACATATGCGAGACATCCCCACACCTTGAGACGGCTAATATTAGGTTTCCGATTGAACCACAACTCATATGGAGTTTTGTTAATCTTCTTCATAGGAATCCTATTTAGAGTATAACTTAAGATTGTTTCACCCCACCATTGATCAGGTAAACCAGAACTAATAAGCATGCAATTCACCATTTCAACTAAAGTCGTGTTTTTCCTTTCTGCTACTCCATTTGATTCTGGCGAATACGGTGGAGTAAACTCGTGAACTATACCATTAGTTTCACAGAATTTTGCTAATTCTGCTACTTGGTATTCACCTCCTCTATCAGAACGTAGGACTTTAATTTTTCGGTTTAATTGATTTTCCACTACTGCTTTATAAATAAGAAATTTGCTTAAAACTTCATCTTTATTTTTTAGTAAGTATACATAAGCATATTTCGAAAAATCATCTATAAAGGTCACAAAGTACTTGTTCCCTTCACGTGAAACTTTACTATGCAGATCAGCCACATCGGAATGTATAAGACCAAGTAATTCAAATGTTCGCATAACAGATTTATGTGGTTTACACGTTATTTTACCTTGAACACATATTTCACATTTGTTAACATCATCAAACTTACATTTAGGAATAATTCCTAAATTATACATGTTCTTAATAGATTTATAATTTATGTGGCCTAATATAGCATGCCATAAAGGTAAAGAATCAACAGTATAAGCAAAGTTATCATTTTTTAGATTCATTTTGAACATACCATTACATGAGTAACCTTTTCCGACAAATACATTATTCTTAGATACTATAAGGCTATCAGACTCAATTACAAGCTTAAAACCTGCCTTGTTAAGGCGATCCCCAAAAATCAGGTTCTTAGTCATTTCAGGCACATGGAGAACTTCTGCCAAAGTCAGATTCTTTCCCGAAGTGAATTTCAGTTCAACTGATCCAATTCCAACAACTTTGGTACGAACATTGTTACCCATTTTCACTTCTCTTCCATCGGTGCATTCTTTGTAAGTCTTGAACTGAGATTTGTCATTACTTACATGAATTGTAGCTCCGGTATCCAGCCACCATCCTACTTCAAATCCAACTGAGTTGGCTTCTTTGACCACAGCAACAAAGTTTGGATCATGATTTTATCAGTCACATTTACTTGATCCTTCTTTGTTTTTTCGTTCTTTGCCTTCTCGTCTTTTATTCGATGTCGGCATTCACGAGCAATATGACCAGATTTCTTGCAGTAGAAACAATCCCCCTTGAATTTTTTCTTAGAGATTTCTGCATAATCTTCCTTAGAACTGGAGGTTTTACGCTTCTTGTTACCCTTATGATTTCCTTGAACCATGTTTGCCTTTTCTGCCGCTTGATCATTATTCTCTCGTTTACGAGAGTCTTCCTCAATACGCAAATGACGGATGAGGGCTTCCAGGGTATGCTTGGTTTCATCATGTTTGAGTTTCTTTTTATAGCCATTCCATGAACTTGGTAATTTTGCAATAATGGCTCCAACTTGAAATGCATCAGGCAAGACAATTTCAGCATTCTTAAGATTACTAACAATAAGTTGTAATTCATGTACTTGGGTAAGAACAGACTTACTGTCCGTCATCTTGAAATCAAAGTAATTACCGATCAAGAATTTCTGGTTGCTTGCTTCTTCAATACGATACTTGTTGTCCAATGCCAACCATAATTCTTTTGCTGTACCGATAGTCCTGTGTGCGCTGCAAACAGAATCTGATAGTGCATTTAGAATATGGCCTCTACACAGAAAATCATCATCCTTCCGTTTCTTCCGCTGTTCCTGTAATTCCTTCTTGCGTTCATCTGAATCATCTATTTTTTCTTCTGGAATAGGCACGAGATCATCACTCAAAATGTAGGACAGTTTGATTGCTGTCAAGAAGAATAAAATCT